TGCTATGTCTCAGTTAGGGTTAGGGTTAGGGTTATGTCTGAATTAGGGATAGGATCTGAAGTGCAGTGGAACATACTCACTGTTACCCAAGTTTCAAATTATTTTAAAGTTCTACATGTCTATGTGGAAAATTTACAGAAAAGATCTTTTGACATAGGAAAATGACAAAATTGTTCTACTATACAGAAAATTTACAGAAATGTTCTATGTCTGAATTCAGGTTAGGGTAATAAACACGTTTTTAAGTAAAATTCTGCAAATTTACTACTTTTTTATCAATTATGTGTAAAATGTGGAACTAGGACACTAGGACAGCACGCAGGGAAGGTGGTCTGGGGCAAACAGACCTTAAATGAGTGCCCAGTCTTCTATCAGCACACACACCACAGAACACAGCAGTTTAGAATTTAAAATAAAGAAACCTTTGTGAAGGAAAAGGCTAAAATAGCATTCTCAAAAATACAAAGGCATAAAAACCAACCCCCCCAAAATATTAGCTTTTATATTATATAAGACATAAAAATACCTTAAAAATAAATTATTGAATTGAACATGGGACACAAGCCTGGGCTTGATCAACCTATGGCTGGCCGCCTCGGATGAGGGTGTATAGCGTTTAAAGGCCGAAACACCCGATGACTCTGAGATACACTACTGATGATGTGTCCTAAAATTGATTAACCTACTATATCACACCTGTTCATTCTCTGACTTGCTGTTGTGGGGAGGAGAGCGAATAGGTGAAAAACATAGGCCAAGCCAGGCCTTGAGGGTGCCCTGCTCAGTCTAGCGGTGCACTCCTCTCTTCACCTGTTTGTTCTTTGCCTTGCAGTGCGGTTGGAAAAATTAAATATAACTACATCTGCTAGGAACAATTTTCAAATAAACAAATAAATAAAAGGAGATTCACTCCCAGACAGAGGGACTGGAAGGCCCGATGGCATTGCTTAACAAGCGGTGGCCCGTGCATTACCCTTGATCTTCCTATCCAACCACAACTGTCTGATGACCGTTGATGGGGGAAGTCATTGTATGTTCCCCTAACCTAACCCTGACCCTAACCCTAACCCTGACCCTAACCCTGACCCTGACCCTAACCCTGACCCTAACCCTGACCCTAACCCTAACCCTAACCCTAATACTTAACCTTAACCCTAACCTTAGCCCTAAACCTAACCTTAGCCCCAAATTTAACCCTAAACCCTAAAACCTAACCCTAACCTTAACCCTAAACCTAACCTTAACCCTAATCTTAGCCCTAAATCTAACCCTAAACCCTAATACCTAACCCTAACTTTAGCCCTAAACCTAACCTTAGCCCTAAACCTAACCTTAAACCCTAAACTTAACCCTTAACCTAGAAAACACCCTAAACCCTAATACCTAACCCTAACTTTAGCCCTAAACCTAACCTTAGCCCTAAACCTAACCTTAAACCCTAAATCTAACCTTAACCTAGAAAACACCCTTACCCTAACTCTAACCTTTATCCTTACCCAAACATTAACACTAAACCTAACCCAATGACTCAGGGGTACACTATCCATGATGGGTCCTACAATTCATTAATCTACTCTACCGCACCTGTTTGTTCTCTGACTTGCTGTTGTGGGAAGGAGAATGAATAGGTGAAAAACAGGCCAAGCCAGGCCTTGAGGGTGCCCTGCTCAGTCTAGTGGTGCATCCCTCTCTTCGCCTCTTTGTTCTTCGCCTCGCGATGCAGTTGGAAGAATCAAATGTAAATACAACCCTAATTCAACTATATCTACTATGAAAGATTCTCTAATAAATAAATAAATAAGAGGAGATTCACTCCCAGACAGAGGGACTGGAAGGCCCGATGGCATTGCTTAACAAGCAGCAGCATGTGCATTTCCCTTGATCTTCCAAATCTCCCTATCATGTCCCAGAGGACATTCTTTATGAATGATTGGAAAACAAAGGGGGAGTTAGAGAGTCTGAAAGGCATGACCGAGTACTCATAATGCCCCCTGGTGGTGATGAATGCCGTTTTCCTCTTGTCACCTTCCTTAATGCAAATTAAGTTGTATTTTATTACTATAATAGAACATCAGTGAAATTGCAGCAAAAATAGTCATTTAAAAACCATTAACTGTCTGTTTTATTAAAGGGTAACTACTGTAAAGTGCTTTAAAAAGCACTGAATTATCATTTTTATTAGTTTGAAACTATCCTGTATTAAAAATAATATGCATAGTACATGTTCAGACATCCATAAATGGTTCAATTAATTACAAAGCAAATTAAAAAATAAAGGAATACATAGGAGAATAAACATTAATTGCTCAAGCACTCTCTCTCTCTCTCTCTCTCTCTCTCTCTCTTTCCATAATTACACTCTTAAAACAGATAAAACAACAGTTAAAGTTAAAAAACAACACATTCTGTCTCTAACAGGACACATAAGTTTGTGTACACCGACACATTTTGCATTACTTTTTACACAGAATATGTTACATCAGAAAACAACATGACACAAAAAGTGTTAAAATAGTAACACAAGTGTGTGTGTGTGTGTGTGTGTGTGTGTGTGTGTGTAGGTTATTTAATGTTATTTAAATGGCAATTATGTTAGTAAAAGATCACACTGAGCCCAAAAAGTATTTAGTTGTATGAAAAGAACAGCATTTTTTGACATCTTTTTGATCTGTGTAATTTGCACTTTTTACACTTGGGAGGCTTAAACACTTCCAGGTGACTCGACAGAGGCTCTCGGATGACATACGAGAGATAGGCTTTGAAAAGGGCTAATTAGATCCTTTGGTTAATCCAGTGAGCAGAAAGCGGCTGGACAAATGGGCCATTATCTGTGTTTTGGGAACAGAGAGAAAGAGAGAGAGAGAGAGAGAGAGAGAGGTAGAGAGAGAGAGAGAGAGAGAGACCCTGCATCTATGAATCCCCAGGCTAACCTTAAACATGCATGATTCTGAAATGATGAACCACTCAGTATATGCTAATCTTAACAAATCGATAGATATGTGACATGTACACATAACCAAAGGACATATAAATAACATAATTAATAGATAAATATAAGTGTGAAAAATAGATAAAACAATGAATTATAAAGACAGACAGAACACGGTTCTCTACCCCCAGAAATACAAAAATACAGTTATAAATTATTCTGGGCTGGTGTGAAGGTGACAGCAGCCTGATTAACCTTTAAAAACCATTCAAATAAATTCAGCATTTGAGTTTAATCAGCTGTTATTAAACACTATTAAACAGATCAAATTGCTGATTTTAAGGAATTTAGTAAAGAGTGTTCCAAAAATTTAAATGAGCACCCAGCAATTAGTGGGAAACATCCCATAATGTCTTTTAGGAGTGCAACCTCTCCACCAGCCCTCATCCAGCTTCTGTACTTCAGTGATGACGTCACTGGGGTCAATGGTGATCTCTGTCTCATCAGCTGAAGACAAAACCCTGATCTGCACATTTTAGTGTTCACTCTGTTCCCAGCACACCTGACCAACTAATCTGCTAATTAACGAGCCCTTCCTGAGGTGGAGCGGTGTGTTTTGGCAGGGAATCACTGACAAGGGTCTTCAGGACCACTGCATTAAAGGATTTTAAATTATTGTCAGTTGAATGTAGATGAATTTAATCGTACCGTGCCTCACACAGAAGCCCAGACCTTCAGACACTGAGAAAACTCCTCTGTCTAATAAACAACCTGTTCAACCTTCAGCCCATTTAGCCTGATCACTTTGGGAACATCAGCACAGCTAATCAATGTGAACATAATTTCCATATAATCAAAACATGTTATCAACAGAAAATATGTTTATTGATAAATTTATGTATAAATTTGGTCAGTATTCTGAGGCAGGATGGCATGCAGTCATATCTGAATGAATTTTGTATAAAACGCTGCTGCTTTTTAAATGTAGTGCAGATCCTTCAGTGCCTACATTTCCCATATTCCTGTGTGTCAGCGCTGATGCAGTTAGATGAGAAAATATTAAATTAAACTAGTCTTAGCTGAACACCTACTTTATGCTTTTACTATTTTATTTTTATTTTAACTCACTAAATTCCCAAGACCCTTTATTACACACTTCTATAACCTAAGAATAGCCCGGCCAGTTTGCACTGAAGTCCCTGTATCTACTATATAACAAGCCTTGGTACGTAAGCCTGAGATTTTAAGGGGTTAAATACTGCAGGGAGCTCTTTATTTCATCTGTTTATTACATCCTCTCACAGCAGCCTCATTTCAGTTCAACTGTCCAATTAAATTTAAGAGAAGAACTGAAATATTGTGATATAATGATGCGAATTTGTTTGATTTTGTACTTCACGAGTATGTCAGGCTGATAAAAGCCCTTCTGAGAAATCTGGAGTGAGTTTAGAATATTTATTTCTGTATTTTAAATTGTAAGAGCTTAAACACAGAACACACTGACTAACAGAACAGCTCATAAATGTTTATTGATCAGCTGCTGCTCCTTCTGTCTGTTTGGACTCTCCAGCCTCTAATTCCAATTTTCTGTTCCACCTTAAACGGTGCAGCAGTTACATTCTGGCGCCTCAGAATGAGACTGCTTCAGCCTGATGACTTTTTTCTATTCATCTTTATTTATTCACCAAATGTGTTTGATCATAATTTTTCACATTTCTTCTGTATTGGAAAAAGATTTATCCACAATCAAGTCAGCTTTATGTGAATGTTATTAAAGTTTTATGCAGTATTTATCATTTTGTTATATCTGTTTTATAAATATGCATAAAAATGTATGGCTACTGCATCTGTTTTCATAAAGAGCAAAAATCTGAAGAAATCTGCAGTTGTCTGATTTGAAGCCTGGCTAATGTAACATTTGGCTAATGTACAGTCAGTTTATGTGGATTCTGTATAGATGGATTCTATATACGTGGATTTTCTATATGTGGATTTTTTATTTGTGGGTTGTCTATATGTGGATTTTCTATATCTGCATTTTTTATTTGTGGATTGTCTATACGTCTTTTTGGAACAGTTTGCTCCGGTATTCTTTTATCCCGTTTCCCAGTGTGGGTGCTGGAAGCCTGAGGGGAATTTTGCTGGGTGAAATCCTGGTTCTCCCGACATCCTGCAGAAACAGAAATGAGCACTGATGTTAACTGTCTTCAATAATCTGTAATATTTCCTGCTCTGTATACTATTGTAGTGCTGTTTTGGGGTGGGCAATATTACAGTGTTTATCGTTATCATGATAAAGTACATAGCAGTATGACACAGCGTGCTTTTCTGAGAACATTGTGATTAACCTCATTGTGCTCATTGTGGAACATTGTGGTTATTGTGGTCATTGTGGAACTTACTACCTGCATGTTTGATTAAAATTGAACTATCCATCCATCCATCCATCCATTCATCATCTAAACCGCTTATCCTTCTGGGTTGCGGTGGGGTGCTGGAGCCTATCCCAGCTGTCATTGGGCGGAAGGCAGGATACACCCTGGACAGGTCACCAGTCCATCGCAGGGCTAAAATTGAACTAATTAAACAATTTTAAAAATTTAACTAAACTTAGCATAATTAGTCCTGTTAAGATGGTTTTATTGGATTCATAATTTTGAAAGTTTTTTTAAATTTGTACAATATTTTGTCTGTTCCAATTTAGCAGACATCAAAAAACGAATCGTAACCCATCATATATTGTAAAAAACCTTATAAAAAAGAATTGATATTAAATTTTGCCATATCACTTAACTGTTGTTTATAATGACCTATGATATCTGTGTAGTATCCTGTAGTAAAGTGTAGTGAAAGAACAGTTCTAGTTTTCTGCTGAAGGTGAAAAACATCCATTAAGGTTTTCATCATTACCACACATTTTTCATCAAGAAGTTAAAGCTACTACAGTAGGTCTTTAAGGCCAATGTGGAGCATAAGTGTGTCTAGCCCCTTTTTAGGGGTGCTTAAGTTCTTGTAGCTATAAAATGTTTTTATCTAGCAAGCTAATGTTGCAGGTTGTCAATTAATGACTGTCCACTGTTTGAATTCAAGTGAGAGAAGTGAGCTGTTGTGTCGTTAGTAGGCCTGTGTGTTGATATTAAAGCCAAAGTGCTAGACTAGTACTGTCTGGAAAAATGGCAGGGGGGGTGATCTCAGCATTCCCAAAGCTCTGATCCTAGAATCGCTCCTGATATGGAGTCTAATCACAGAGACAAGTCCTGATCTTACTTCTCTTGTTTTCTGGTGACCATTTTTGCAATGTTATTGGTTGAATTATGCATATCAGAGCCATTAATCAACATCACTGGGAGGAGCCTTTGTTAACTTAAATATATTTGTTACCAAATGCAACAAAGCTTTCACACAGCTGAATTAAATGAGTGAGTTTCACAGTTAACTGCAACTGTTGTTGCTAAAACAGTGAGTTATTGTTTTGTCTGTTGCTGAGTGGGGTCTGTGCTGGTGGGTGACCACATTCACACAAATGTTAAAGCTTCAGTTTTCAGCAAAGTGGTCAATATCATCTAATCACAAACAGTTTTTTTTTAATTGTCTATTAAAAAGTATAATTGAATTGGAATTTTAAGTCAAAACATTTATTAGAATATTGCACAATAATGCGTTTACATTAACCTAAACATGACCATATGAACAATGAACAAGTGTGAAGATAAAATCACCAAATACTTTTATTTCACAAATAAGAGCACTAGAATGTAAACTAGGTATGAGGTGTGATACCCGCCCTCAACACCAGAGGTCAGCCTCACCTGGATATTGATCTGTTTCCTACTGACTCCTTGATCTCTTTCACCTGCAGCTCATTTACTTCCCTTTATAACGACCCACACAAACCCCTGCTCTCTGTGAAATATTGCCAGTTTGTCTGTGTACTGAGCCGCATATATGTCTACTATATAACTGCTGGATTAATGGAATAATTGGACTTTCTTCTGAACTCTTGGACACTCTTTGGTACTTCTGCTGTTTTTGTAAGTTATAGTGTATTATTTCAGTAAACAAGAAATAAAAGGAGTCAAACACCTGTCGAGAGCCTTCATTACACCAGGAAGGTATGTTTCACTGTTTTCTACAACAATTACTTTTTAGAGAGCTCGCTAAGATGACATTAGCTGACAAATGCAAAGCTATTAGCACATGTTCTGAGTGTTTTTGCTCATTTTCATGACAGGAAAATAAAAGCTTTGTTTGATTCTACACTTGATTCTTTGTAAATGTAGTCCTTTGTGTTTATGAGTACAGAACAGCGCAGTATATTTCATTTTATTTTAGGTAATATGATAAACTAGCAGGCAAGATATTTGATTAACCAAATTAGACAATTTAGAGTGACTTAAAGATAACAAAATGGTTAATCGTGGTTATAATAACAGTTTTAGCTGTTGCTCAAGCAGATGGAAAACAGACTAGACATAGAACTGTAAGCTTTGTTGGTTCTGTTTAGGTCAGTTGGGTTTAGAATATGTAGTGAAAATATTCTCAAGAGACTCCAAGAGCTTCTGTTCCTGTTAAAGTTTTCAGTGTGGAAGTTGTAATTACCTCTGGCTCTTTTAGAGACGTCATCCTCCGAGTGAGCGTTCCCCTGACAATTGCCCATTGCCAGGACGTGATTGTACAGATTCGCTTTCAGATGAATTCAAATCCTCAACTGTCCACAAAGACACACAAAAAGACAGATATTAACACACTGAGGTGAGGATTTCACTAAATTCATTAGATAAACTTACTCAGAACACTAAAATCTGTATGACAAAATCCAAACACAGAAAAAGCAGAAAATTAAATGATGGAAAGCCGGTTTATTTTGATGCTGCTATGACAAACGGTAGGATTCAACAAAGGTTGGACCTGATTGTTCGGTATAGCGTACTGGGTAACAGCTCTGGATGTTTGGTATCAAATAAGCCCCTCCCATCCCCCCCTCTTTCTCCCTCTCCCCACCCTATGTCTTTCTTTCTTTTTCTTTCTTTCTTTCTTTCTCTCTCTCTGTCTCTCTCCTTTCAGCCCCACCTCTCTCTTCTGCACCCTCCCATCCCCTCTCTGTCCCCCCTCCCCACATTTCTCCCTTCGTTCATTCTCCTGTCCTCTCCCACCAATCCCTCCAGCCTGTCTGTCTGTCTCTATTTACCTCGTTTTGTGTCTGTAACTGTGTGAGAGGCTTTTTTAGCTGACGTGAAGAAACTGGTAAATGTGCACTAGAAGAGCACACAGATCACTCTCAGATCTCACAACTTTTTTTGTCATCATGTTCTTTAGCCAAATCAACTTGGAGATATTTATAGATTGTGATGATGGATATATGAAAAAAGTAACTTAAGTACTCAGGTGTTTCTCTAATAAACTACTTATTTACATTTACTTGAGTAATTTTCTTAAATACTTTGACTTGTACTCGGTTAAATGATCAGTAAATGTACTTTTACTAAAGTAGGGATGTTCAGCTCTCTTTACTCCCCTGAAAACATTAACATACAGCACATTTACAGAGTGAAAGAGCAGCAGCTTTAAATCTGAGGCTCAATTAAACTCTGATGGAAAAAAACAGCCATTTACTCACCTCACAGGTAGCAGAGGGTTCGATCCTGCTGAAGAAACTTCAGGTAAAATGATCTCAGCAACTTTATATGAGTGAGATTTTCAGCCAACTGCAGTTTAGTCCCGCCCATTCTCTTTGAAGGAAACCAGCTCCATTCCTTTCTGAAAATTTTAAAATTTTTTTAGGGGGTGGTAATTAGATTTAGGCGGCACAGTGGCGCAGTGGGTAGCGCTGTCGCCTCACAGCAAGAATGGTCTGGGTTCCATTCCCAGCCGGGCGGCCAGGGTCATTTCTGTGTGGAGTTTGCATGTTCTCCCCGTGTCTGCGTGGGTTTCCTCCAGGTACTCCAGTTTCCTCCCACAGTCCAAAGACATGCAGTCAGGCTGGTTGGATGTGCTAAATTGCCCCTAGATGTGTGACTGTGTCTGTCTGCCCTGCGATAGACTGACGACCTGTCCAGGGTGTATCCTGCCTTCCACCCAATGACAGCTGGGATAGGCTCCAGCACCCCACCGCGACCCAGAAGGATAAACGGTTTAGATTATGTATGTATGTATTTAGATTTATCTGTGAAATAATTACTTGGATAATGAAAGAGTTAGATTTGGATCAGATCCAAATTTAAACATTGGTTTCAGCACTAAATTGCTCATATTGCCAGACCTGATGTCAGTGATCTGGACTGTAATGGTGACACAAGCTGACAGCATGTCCCTCTGCTTCCTCAGTGTGTTACTCTGAATTTACTCTCTCTCTGAAACGTGTTATCTAAAGTTTTGTCACCTTGAATGGAATTCATGCAACACTTAATATTAGAAAACTTTTTATAACAAAAAGGTATAATGAGCTTGTAAAATGCTTCACTGCTTTGTTCTGGCTAATGCCGCTCCCTCTTTTCATTCACTCTCTAGCTTGCTCTACCACCACTGCTCACTCACTCTCTTGCTCATTGAGATGGATGGACCAACTTTGAATGGTATGTTTAAACAGCAAATCCTGCTCATTCTGACTTTAAGGAGCCTAAATACAGCAACACTGTCTGTCTCTGAGACCGGTGGTTTCTGAGTGCTCAGTGGGGGGTGAAGTGGATTCAGAGCAGACAGTGAAATTTGGGCACAACGATAAAAAGTATAACTCAGTGCCGTTAGTTATTAACAAAAAGCCAGCAGTTTAGCTCCGCCCATTCAGCCCACAACCATTCAATTAAGCTGCACTCTCATCCCATCGATATTTCAGAAACAATTATTTGGATTATTCAGTGGAAATTGATATCAGTGTAAGTATTTTTGACTGATTCTACTGACACATTACTGACTACCTCACTGGCAGACGTCAGTATGTTAGGCTGAAGAACTGTACGTCAGACACCGTAGTCAGCAGCACAGGAGCACGACAAGGGACTGTACTTTCCCCTTTTCTCCTTACACTGTACACCTCAGGCTTTCAGTACAACTATGAGACATGCCACATGCAGACGTTTTCGGATGACACTGCCATTGTGGTGTGTGTAAGGGGAGGGCAGGAGGAGCAAGCAAGCAAGCAAGCAAAGCTCTATATAGCTCTTTTTACAACAGGTGTTGTCAAAAAGCAGCTTTACAGAAAAATCTGGGTCTGAGCCCCCATGAGCGTCGCCAGTGGTGACAGTGGCAAGGATAAACTCCCTAAGAGCAAGAGGAAGAAATCTTGAGACTCACAAGGGGAACCCGTCCTCCTCTGGTCGACACCGGATAGCAAACATTGTTAGTATAACATATTATAGTACAAAACAGGGAAAACAGGTGGAGCAACAGTTAATTAGATTAGTTTGAGTTTATGCAGCAGCAGCATCATAGGGAGGGTTAGTTCATGACGGTGAAGATTACACAGCGTTGTACAGCATGAAGCTCAATGGTGGTCAAGCTGGTCCAGAAGGCTGGCGAGTAGTGGCACCCGATCAAGACAGAAGAGGCAACAGCATCAGACCCACAGGATGGGCAGCTTTTCAACTCATCAAAGAAAGGAAAACACACAGAGTCAGTTCTGTAAAGAGTGACTGATCACAGATTACAGGGTTAACAGAGCAGCAGAGACTCTATCAGGTCTGGATCTGACAGGAAAAACTAATTACCAAAGGCTTGACCATACAAGTAAGTTTTTAGCCTAAACTTAAAGACCGAGGCTGTGTGTCCTGAACACTGACTGGAAGGTTATTCCAAAGCTGGGGGGGCTTTGTATGAGAAGGCTCTACCCCCGATGTAGCTTTTTTAATTCTAGGTACTAATAGTGAGCAGCACCTTGTGATCTAAGTAGGCGTGATGGTTCATAGTAGGAAAGAAGTTCATTCAGGTACTGAGGGGCAAGTCTCTTTAGTGCTTTATAGGTCAGTAAGAGAATTTTATGATCAATGCAAAATTTAACTGGTAACCAGTGTAGGGTTGATTAAAACTGGACTGATATGGTCAAAGTTTCTGGTTCTAGTAAGAACTCTCTGCAGCGTTCTGGACCAGCTGAAGCTTGTTAAGGCTTTTGCTGGAACATCCAGACAGCAGGGCATTACAGTAATCTAGCCTTGAAGTAATAAATGCATGAGCTAGCTTTTCTGAGAACAATAAAAGATCATTTACAATTTTTACTAGTGCTGTCTCTGTACTATGATGTGGCCTAAAACCGACTGAAAATTTTCATGTATATGATGCTTATACAAATAGGAGCTTAATTAATCTTAGATATAAAGGTAAGAAGTTAGATAAAGTTTGCAGGGATCAAGGTTAGCTTTCTTAATCAGTGGTCTAATTACTGCTAGTTTAAAAGTTTCTGAGATGTATCCAAGGCTAAGAAGAGTTTATTATTGACAGAATAGGCTTGGTTATTTCTGGCAAAATTTCTTTGAGTAAACCTGTAGGAATCAGATCTAACATACAAGTAGAAGATTTTGTGGAGGAAACAATTTTACCTAGTTCATTTTCTTAAAGTAAGGTAAACGATTCCAGACTCTCTGCAGTAGTTATATTTTCAAGATTTAGACTGGCATTATAAGGCAGCAGGTTTGTAGAGTTTAATTGTGTATTCTGAATTTTCTGCCTAATTTTTCAATTGTATCACTAAAGAAATTCATAAAATCATTGCTGCTGTAGGCTGATGGCATCTGGGGTTCACTAACTGTTTTGCTCTCTGTTCGTTTAGAGATTGTGCTGAAAAGTAATCTAGGATTATTTTTATTGTTTTCTATGAGAGAGGAGAGGTAGGCTGAGCGTGCTGCAGTAAGTGTTCTTCTATAGTCTATAAGGCTCTCCTTCCGTTCTCCAGGTGGACTGGAACACTTCTAGTTTAGTGAGGCGCCATATTCGCTCTAGTTGTCTGGTAGTCTGTTTTAAAGCTTGAGTATGTTCATTATATCAAGGGGTGAGTTTTTTCTGCCTTACTATTTTACTTTTTAATGGAGCCACACTATAGTAGATTGAAAAGTATCCTTTTGGTCATAATATCTAACTCGGTAGGATTAGATGGACAGCTGACAGAAGCTGATAATTGATGAAGCTTTCTGATAAAGCTGCCAGCTGTGGAGGAAGTTATGTTAAGCAGAGTATAACATGGTGATGAACGTACATTACCACTAAAGTGAATTTTGTATGAGATTAAGTAATGATCTGAGACTGCTGTGCTCTGGGGGAGAATGGCTAAGTTATCTATGTCTACACCAAAGGTCAGTATTAAGTCTAGAGTGTGGTTGTGGTAGTGTGTGGGCCTCTTTATATTTTGGGTGAAACCTACAGAGTCTATGATATATATAAATGCTTTAATTAGTGCATCTTGAGGTCTGTCAAAGTGGATATTAATCTCTGACAATTATTTTATTTGAAAACATTATTAAACTTAGTAGAAACTCAGAGAATTCCTGTAAGAACTGAGAATACGGCCCTGGCGGCCTATAGATTGTAATTAGTCAAAAGGAATTTTTATTTGTTCCTTGTTCACTTATATTAAGTAAAAGAACTTCCAAAGAGTAGAATTTGTATCCTACTTTCTGGCTCACGCCTAAAGCTTTAGTATGGATGGTTGCTATACCTCCACCTCAGCCGCTTAAACGAGGGCTATGTGCATAACTGTAGTCTGTGGGGGTGGCTTCATTTAGACTAAAGTATTCATCGGGTCTAATCCACGTTTCTGTGAGGCACAGAGCATCAAAATCAAGATCGGTAATAATTTCATTTACAACAGCGGCTTTAGATGTGAGGGATCTTATGTTAAGCAGTCTAGTTTTAGACCAAAGGTGCAGTCATTGCAAACTGGTATAACTGGTCTGAAATTAATCAAGTTACTAGAGCAAACTTTTTGAGGCTTTTTGAAGCTTTGTTTTATTCGGGGAACAGACACAGTCTCAATTGGGAGGAACCTATGTGGCGTCTCAAGACAGTTTGTAATATGAGCATTAGTATTTCTAGAATCAGTATTTTTATTAGCACTTGCCTTATTTACAGTATAAGTGCTAGTAATTGCCTTATTTTCAATATTAACACTGGCATTATTAGCTATAGCGTTTCTATTTTGGGCGCTACTTACGTGGCCTTCACTTTGTAGTCAGTGGACGGCCCTCTCGATGTTCCGTGAGAGGACAACAGATCCATGACAACTAGGGTGAAGCCCATCCCTCTGGTAGAGTGCTGGCTGTTCCCAAAACGAAGATCAGTTGTCCCGTAGCCCAAGCCATTAAGGGTGCACCAGCCATGGAGTCAAGACTGCAGCATGAAGAGCTTGCTGAAACGTTCGGATCCCCTCCTGTATGTGGGAAGAGGTCCAGAGATGATGGTCCGTCTCCTTCCTGGCAGTGTCCAGTAGCGTCTGGTAGTGCTCCTTCAGGACCTCACTACACCGGGCAGAGATGTCGTTGGTCCCGACATGGATAACCATGGTCCCGAAGGCGTTGCGTCTGCTGAGAGCCGAGGGGAGGCACTTGGCTATGTCTAAAACACGAGCACCTGGAAAACAAAAGACAGTGGCATGGCTGTTTATACCTTTTACTTTTATGTGGCGGACAATAGAGCTACCGATAACAAACCGAGTCCGGTGTAGAGGGCCGAGGAGCTGGGGCGGGTGACGAGGTCCGGGGTGCTACGGCAGGCGACGAGGCCCTAGACGTAGGTGGAGGTGTAGGCAGTGAGCTGAGGGTGGCAAAACGGTTGCAGGAGGTGAAAATCGGCCAGACCTTCACCGCCACCCCAGCCGATTTTCACCTCCTGACTGTGTGAGTGGCCTAGCCCTGCAAAAATCCACCACCATCTCCTTGGTCTTGGTAGTGTTCAGTAGCTCGTTGTTCCTATGGCAGCACTCGCAGAGGAGTAAAAGACCTTGGTGAAGGACTTTGTGGAGTGGTACCATAGGAACAACCAGCTACTGAACACTTCCAAGACCAAGGAGATGGTGGTGGATTTTTGCAGGGCTAGGCCACTCACACAGACAGTGTCTATTGAGGGGGTTATGACCTACAGGTATCTCGGACTGCAACTGGATGATGGGTTGGACTGGTCAGCCAACACAGACGTCCTGTACATGAAGGAGCAAAGTCGGCTCTATTTCCTGAGGAGGCTGGGGTCCTTCAACATCTGTAGGAAGCTTCTGCAGATGTTCTATCAGACTGTGGTTGCCAGCTGTCTTTTTATGCTGTGGTGTGCTGGGGCGGAAGCATGAAAAAGAGAGACAAGATGTTACTGGACAAGCTGGTCAGGCAAGCGGGGTCAGTGGTCAGTGTGGAACTGGACTCTGTGGTTAAGGTGGCTGAGAGAAGGACATTGCACAAACTACTCTCCATTATGGAGGATGATGGCCACCCACTGCACACCATCATCATCATCATCAGGGACAAGAGGAGCATGTTTAGTGGCAGGTTGCTGTAACAGAGCTGCTCAACCAACAGACTCAGGAGATCCTTTGTCCCCAGAGCCATCAGGCTCTTCAAATCTTCCCAGGGGGGCCAGAAGAGAAGAGGGAAGAGGAGAGATGAGGACTGAATCTGAATCTCATGTTAAATCATAGCCTTATCTAATGCTAAATCATAGGTTTATCATATCCATCTGCACATATGGACACTTTGCTGTACATATTGCACTTTTTGTAACCCCTACCGTACATCTTGCACACCTGGACACTTTATTTCAGTACCAATATATGCACATATTTATTCAGTATTGTTATTATATGCTGTTATTGTACTGCCTTTTCCATCTCAGGTTATAGATCCTATTGCAGATTTTTGTATATTTCTATATGTATATATGCCTGCAGTCTTTTTATATTGTTTCACCCTTATTATTTTTACTGTCCTGTGTTGTGTGACTGATACTGTCTGCTAAATTTCCTTTGGGATCAATAAAGTATCTATGTCTCATTTATCATGAAATGTTTACACGGTATAAAGTGTTTTTTTTTTTAGATGGTTTTTATCTGTATATATTCTTCTTTTTGTATGCTATTATTATTATTATTATAACAAAGATACTTTATTTTATTTATATATATATATATATATATATATATATATATATATATATATATATATTAAAAAATTCTTGATATATCCACAATCATAGTCTGAACATAGTGCAATGAGAGTGTTGAGTTAGACCCGGGGAGGCCATTATTTTATCATGAGACGTGGTCTTCTAAACGCCAGTAGGAGACACACACAGAACTCATAGGGGAGATCACCACTAGACGCAGGCTTCACCCTGACGGTGACCCCCAACACACACAAAAGAACCCACAACACCACATAACACAGCTAACACATTCACTTGATAAAACTAAAGCAGCACAGGATAATGAGAAAATAAAGTTGTGAGCTCTGATCTCAGTGTGTGCATGTGCCCTAACAGAACACATCTCCCTGTGAACTGACTGAGAAACAAGTTTACATTTAAGCTGCATGCAGTTCAGGAATAGAATATCAAATGTATCACATTATGCCAGTTTAGTTTGCGCTACACTGAGATTTTAGGAGTTTGGCTCAAACATCTTACTTTGTGATAAAAGTGTTTGCTGTGTGGTTTATTTCAATAGACCAAAATGTTTTATGTCTGTAATTTGTATAACAGAGCTTTGGTTCAATCCAGCTTAAACCTAATTTCTATCTTATTTTATTTTATTTTATTTTCATTCTTAACATTAACTGTTTTAATTACTTTCATAGAAATTACATAATAAATCTGAGTAAACTTTTTTTCTAAACTGTTTTACATTCTTTTACCTTGTTCTTTAGGTGATGTACACAAAAAAGACTTGTGTGCTGGAGAAACCTCACTGCTAGATGGGCTCCACTTTAGTAAGCAAGTAAGTCTATATGCTTAATATAAGTGTATAACAATAATAATATGTGATTATATTTTGGTGGCAGATAAAGTAGATTCATATAACACTGAGTGAAAAGTGTCTTTCTTGTACAGATTAATGCTGGTGAAAGGGATTCATTTCACCAGAGCAGGTGAGAATCAGTGGAGGTAGAGTCTGAATGTGACCAGCAGGAGCTTGCAGGAGAGAAGCTGTTCCTCTATAGGTGAGTGTCTTGTGTCAGCAGAAGAAGAAAGCCACTGGCTTGATGGTAACCCCCCTCACACACAAAACCCACATATTAGCCCCACACCTGACACGTAATAACACATAAAACACACATAACTATAACTAATAGACAACAACATTAAATAACACCACAAGTCCCTATGTCTGAGGATGTGCACTACCATGATCCTTTGTGTGTGGTTATCTGCCTAGCAACACCTCCAGAGCCTCAGGTACCAGTGGCAGCTAGTAGCAGAATGCTACACAGCACCCTCTTTAAAGGTTTACTTGTTCCCAGCAAACTACCAGATCCACCCAAGTCCTTGGGCACATGCACAGTCCTGACAAGAACAAATGCTGTAGGGCACTCACTCATCTGCAGCGAGCACCCCCAGTCCTCTCCTGTGGCCACGCTCCCGCCACCACGGCACACTGTAGAGCTCCCCACAGCAAACTGCGTCAAGTCTTGCACAGCTTGGGCTGGGGGCAGCAACAGTGGTATCTGTCCCTGCCCTCCCACTCTCACTGCCACCCACCGTGCCATTTGACACTGTTCCAAATGCCACTCATGCACACTGGGGCCCCACCTCTGCCCCTGGTGAATGACCTGAGCTGGACAATGATCACCTTCCAGCTGTGTGATGTGCCCCTCTCTGTGCTTGAACATGTGGGTCGCAGTAGAGATTTCGGCGCGCTTGTAGTGGCGAGTACAATTAGACATCTGTAGTCCATGCTGCACTTGGCCCACCACCTGCAGCCACCATTTGTTTCCCAGCCGGCCCAGACACCTGACGCCACCTCTCTCACAGCCCTGACTCACCAACTAACCATCTGCTGCTCACCATGACAGTCCTGTGCTGAAACCTTCAATGGTTTCACTTTCATTTTCACTTTTGCTGGCCTCTCACTTGCTGGCTCCACCATCGTGCCGCACGGTGTCTGCTCAGCTGCCAAGCCTCCTTGCGCTGGCCCCATTGTCTCTTGCGTCTGCTCCAGTCTCCAGTGTTGCTGCACCATCGAGCTTTGCCAGGCCATCCTCCCCGTGGAGCCTCGCAACACAGTGTCTCGCCTGTCTCTTCTCGCCATCCACCCTCAAGGTCAGAATAGTTATACCACTTCTGATGATTCAGATAGTGATGCCGTAATTCTGCTCTGGGAATGGCTCTATTATTAAACTTTGTGGGCAGTAACTCACAGACACAGGCTATAAGATGTGCCAGCTAAAATGTTGTTTGATAATTACAGTAGCAGCAGCACTCCCTTGAGTTTAACCCACCCACACCCCAAGCAAATCACCCTCCAGCCTTGTCCTGTGAATAAAACTTATACAGATTTTATTAAAATAAAAGTGGTTACATATAGTAGTTTAATGTAATGTTATTCCTATTATTAGCATTACTATTACTATCAGTGGTGACCCCATATAATCAGCTATTCAAAAATTCAGTCTAAGGAGCCTGATTCCATGATCAGCCTCACAGTCAAAATAACGTCATGAGGCAAAGATCATTCTATTCCAGCAATGTCAGGGAGCTGAATGTCTGAGTTTACATAGAATTGTCTGGTTTCTCCCAGTAAATCATGATATAGTGTAAGGGACCAGCCTCAGGCTGGGCCACCTATGGTAACCCAGCCAGCCACCAGAGAGAGACAAAGTCGTGACGTGGTAATCAAGGGTGATTTGTGACAACAGTGTCCACCCTTCATAGGTCAAGCTCACCCACAGTCTTGTTCTCTGTGTCTTGTACACGTTATGTGATCTACCCCTGTCCTTTCTCTCTTAAAAAAATGAACCTCTTAACCTCTTCTGTTTTCCCCTTTTGAGTTCCACAAGGAACCCCTTGACTTTTCAGTAGTGTCTGGCTAGAATTGTCCGTGCAACAGACAAGCGATTCTGGCAGAAATCACATCCACATTCAATGCAGGAGGACCCTCAGGCATATCCTGCAGGTCAGTGCAGCATTCTTTAGCTTCCATGTGATCTGGGAGCAGAAGACCCACCAGAGTGTCTCTGTTAACACCACTCCAGACACAGCACCTCACCTGGGCTCTTGAGGTTGCTAACTGGGCCCTAGAGGACTGGCAACATGTGGCGTGGTCCAATGAGTCACGGTACCAATTGTTTCTGGCTAATGTCGGGGTTAATGTGTGGCACACAGCCCATGAAGCCATGGACCCCCGTTGTCAGCAAGGCTTTGTGCAAGCTGGTGGTGGTTTTGTACTGGTCCATCTGAACAGGTCATTGACCGTTTCAGTGCTTGGTGACCATTTGCAGCCCTTCATGGACTTCATGTACCCCTACAATGATGGGATATTCCAGCAGGATAATGCACCCTGCCATCGGGCCCAAGTTGTCCGGAATTGGTTTGAGATTTCTGGAGAGTTCTGGTGAATGGTGTGGCCTGCATGTTCACCCAAATTGAACATTTATGGGGTGTGGTGGAGAGGTCCATTCACAGCCGAGATCCTGCACCTACAAACACCACAGTGCTGTGGGTGGCTATCCAAACGGCATGGCTCAACATCCCTCCAGATGTCTTATGTCTTCGATGCCACGTTGAGCTGCTGCACTTTACTAGGCTAGAGGGGTCCTACACAATACTAGTTCCTGTCTCCTGCCTTTTGGCATGTCAGTGTATAAATGTAATATAGTCCTCAATGGTCTCCTTTCCAGAGACTCCTGACACACGGAGGTTCGATCCTCACTCAGAGTGAGTCACCATGTTACAATGGCATGAGTGACCCGACCGCGTGGCCATTTACATCTGCAACAGCATGAAAATTGAGACTTTCCTCATCACCCTTGCGATGCAGAGGTAGCAGGTGTGAATATATCATGATGGTAGACTGAGCTGCACTCTCCAATTTCATCACAAAATATAGCTCATAATATACATGTACAGCCACATTCACAGTTTAGTACTCACCCAGCTCTGTGTCAGGCAGTGCACTTCTGTCTGTGCACCACACTGCCGCTCCCTCACTCTCACTCGCCTGCTCAGTCTATTACCATAATGTAGACTTTTCAAATAATGAGTTAGGAAAAGGATGAAAACCATCCTATAAATGAAATTTTTATGCCAAGTCATGAAGACGAAGAGTTTAATTGGGTGTTTCAGCTCTTTTGTCTGATGAAAAAAAAAAATCCATGATTCAACAATCATTCCATGAGAGGTAAGATTCCATCAGATTCCACTATGTAAATTCTTAGAGGGGGACACCTGTTGTTGTTGTTGTTGTTGTTATTATTATTATTATTATTATTATAATTATTATTATTATTATTATTATTATTATTATTATTATTATTATATAATTAGACTCCCATATTTTTCAGAAAGCATTTGAAACAAATTTCCCTGTTGTGGGATTAATAAAGGTCGCTTAATATTGTAGATAAAGTAGGATTAAATATGTGATTTAACACTGAAGCAGCTGCACTATGATCAATATTCTGACAAAGGTTGAATTGGACTTGATTAGACTTCTAGTTTCAAAGCGTTTTGAATGTCGATACACTGAACTGTATGTGAACTTTACTGTTGATTTAATGTCAGAAATCAACATTGATTTAACAGTTCTGCATTTAAATGGACGACATTGAATCATCTTTGATTCAGCCTTATTTTTATTCAGCTTTACAGCCATAACGGTTCCAGAGAAACTTAATTTCAGCAGGTTTATGAGAGAGAGATTTCATTCAGACTTAATGACAGATCTGTCACCAGCGTGAACTTTCTCTCAGGCGACTCCAGGATCTGCCCAAAAATCAGGCTGAACGAGTTTCGAGATTGTGCCTGAAGTCCACCTTCATCTTTACAGACTTTTGTGTTAAGCAGCAGGTGGTTGCTGCTGCACCAGGAACCAGCTGCTTGACTTCCTTTCTGTAGGCAGTTGGCTGTGAATCCCACCACAGTGGTGTCATTTGCAAACTTCAGCATCTTCACAGCTGGTTTCTTAGAGACAGTCATTAGTGTAGAGACTGAAGAGAAGGATTGAGAGCACACAGCCTTGTGGAACTCCAGTTATGAGGGTCCCAGGGTCTGACTTGTTTTCTTAGCTGCACCTGCTGTCTCCTGTTTGTCAGAAAATCCATGATCCACTGACAGCTGGAACAGTTTGGCCTGCAGCAGCTCTGGCACTGTGATGTTGTCTGGCAACCTCAGCCTTGAACCAGTTCCTCACTGCTGCAGTAGAACCAGATGCCTATTCAGCCTACAGCAGTTTAGCCCCACCCATTCAGCCTACAGCAAGGCAAGACAAGGCAAGTTTATTTATATAACACATTTCATACCCTGCGATCATTAAAATTGATTTACAAATGAGAAAATACAGAGATAATTCAAGTTTTAGAACAGAAATTAAAAACCTGATTTAAAACAAAATGAAAACAGTGGATTTTAAAAAAAAGTAGAAATAAACTAATTAAAAATGACCTTCAGATAATGGAGTTGTGTTACAGGAGAGAAGTGCAGCACAGCTAACAGTGTTTTAAACTGAGCTGAAAGTTTCTCAAATAGGAACATTTTCAGCTGGAAGTGTCTTTTGCTTTGTCTGTCTATGCTGAGTTCAGCAGCTCGTGAATTGTTTGCAAAATCATTCCTTTTGTGATTCATGGCTGAAGCTAAAGAAAGTCTTACATAAGGCCAAGCAGAAAATCGAGGATCCACCGGAACAGAACACAACAACTCCAATGACACTGGCCGTCTTTTCTTTTCAATCAGAGGTTACAGGTCAAAAAAAAAAAAGAAATGAGAGAGAAAAAAGTCTCTGAGTATCTGAGTTTGGCCTCTAGGCAGCAGTGGCTGAAGGCAGCAGTGAGGTAGTTAGATATAGTTGGCCATGGAGTGGGAGCGTATCCCTGAGAGGTGCCTTGGTATTGCTGGAGGTTTCTGTGCAAGGGGGAGAAAGAGCACTGTGTTACTCGGCCATAACTCGCTCACCTCTGGGCATCAGTGGTGCTGTTAATGAGGTGGGGCTAATTAGTGCAGGCCAGATTTCGGAGCTCCACCCCTCTGGTAGTCATGCCAAGACTGTCTACAACAGGTGCTCACCGGTTCAGCACCTTGGAGAGCGCGCTGAAGTGCTGGCACATCCCTGGTGTGACCATTTGGAGCCGGTGGGAGTG